TAAGTCTATGGCATAGGGATAACATGGGTAATGCTAAGTCTATGGCATAGGGATAACATGGGTAATGCTAAGTCTATGGCATAGGAATAACATGGGTAATGATAAGTCTATGGCATTGTATTAACATGGGTAATGCTAATCCTATGGAGATAATTCAGATCTATGAACGATGATAAATCTATGTGACTAATGCTTTATAGTAGATTTCTATGAGATAACCGAATAAATATCAGCAATAAATAGAACTAATTGTTGTCAAAAACATTTTAAATTCTCAAAATAATAATAGTGAGAGTATTCTAACAATAGTATTGAAAAATTAAAAATCTTTGATGCATTTCCCGAATTGTGGTTAACGTATAGCATCGCTGTGTGATCCTTGTTTCATTTTATCCAGTCGTTTAAAAAAACTTGTCCTCTCAAGAATCGTTATATCTTCCGAACGGAATGAGCTAGATCAAATCTGGAAACTATAAAATGATGATCCACATATCTAGTTTTTTCTGACAAAAAATAATTGAAATCACGTGACTAGAACATAGAAATTTTTGGGTCATTTCGAAATGCCATAGTTTTAGCCCAGTTGAAAGGGGGGTCGGAATGGGGCTGGTATGCTATTCGGAAGAGGAGATGTCAATGTATATTATAGCAAAGTTTCATAAACATCAAATAAATATTCTTTCGTAACGAACAAAATATCCAATAAATTTGACACAATATTTAGACAAAAATAGCCCAATTTTGACTTTTTTATACTACATTTTCGTAGTTATAAAAGGTTGACTTCAGAACCAGTTTTCCCCATAGACATAATGTTAATATAATTGACAATTTCTAGTAAATGGCTGAACTAATCTTAATCAAATTTTGCTATAATGTACTTTCACATTTCCTTTTCCAAATAGCATACCCGCCCCCTTCCGACCCCCCTTTCAACTGGGTAAAAACTATGGCATTTCGAAATGACATAAAAATTTCTATGTTTTAGTTACATGATTTCAATAATTTTTTGTCAGAAAAAACTAGATATGTGGACCATCATTTTACACTTTACAGAATTGATCTAGCTCGTTCCGTTCGGGAGATATAACGATTCTTGAGAGGACAAGTTTTTTTGAACGACTGGATATTTATATATATTGTCCATCAATTGATCGAAAAATATAATAAATAGCAAAAGCGGACTATTATTTGTGTTATACACTCATATAATTTGGTCTTTCCTTTCCTTTTTCCCTATTTTGTACTCTTTTTTCTTTTTGCTTCTCTCTCTCTCTCTCTCTCTCTCTCTCTCTCTC